GATTTGAGAGATGGTTGCATTAAAAATCATTTAAATTAAATTAAAGATATGGTAAGGGATTCTATTGTAGAAAATGTTCTCAGATGATAGTGAACTTGAGGTCATGATTAAACAGTTTTGCTGATGTTTCAAAACTGTTATCTTATCTTCCTGTATTAGAATTATTTCTGATATCTACTCTCTGATACTCTTCAATATCGTCCCTGATATCTATATGTTCTTGAATGTTTATTAGTAATCAGATATTCAATGATGATCAATTTGTTTAAGGATGTTTTTAGGTAATCTAGGACGTTTATGAGAAGGCATAATCTCCACTACATGGAAATGAGCGGTTTTGAATGGTAAAAAAAATTGTTGTAATTCTTTCTAAGTATCCCAAAGATGTTTTTAATCATTTAGAACCATTTTGATCAACACTAATAAGCTTTTGCAATATTAATTTTTTGTTAAATTTCTTGTAAAATGCCTCAATTAACTATTCCAACTTCGTTCGTCTTTATCAAATAATATGAAAGTGTTTTAAATCGATTTGAGTAATTTCGACACACACCAATGACCTTTTCCTATTATTTGATATCATTGGAACACTTTTAAAAATCATCAAAATCATTTTTTTTAAATTTTGTAACCTATTTTAAGTATTCAAAAGGTGTTTTTAATCATTAGAACCATTTTGATCGACACTAATCAGCTTTTTCAATATTAATTTTTTGTTGAATTTTCTGTAAAATGCCCCAAATAACTATTCCAACTCTGTTCGTCTTTATCAAATAATCTGAAAGTCTTTTAAATCGATTTGAGTAATTTTGATACACATCAATGAACTTTTTCTATTATTTGAGATCATTAGAACAATTAAAAATCATCAAAATCAATTTTTTTAGTTTCCTAACCTATTTTAAGTATCCCAAAGATGTTTTTAATCATTTAGAACCACTTTGATCGACATTAATCAGCTTTTCCAACATTATCTTTTATTAAATTTAATGTAAAATGCCCCAAATAACTATTCCAACTCTGTTCGTCTTTATCAAATAATCTGATAGTGTTTTAAATCGATGTAAGTAATTTTGACACACACCAATGATCTTTTTCTGTTTTTTGACATCATAATAACACCTTTAAAAATCATCAAAATCAATTTTTTTAATTTTGTAACCGCTTTTAAGTATTCCAAAGGTGTTTTTAATCATTTAGAATCATTTTGATTGACATTAATCAGCTTTTGCAATATTAATTTTTTGTTGAATTTCCTGTAAAATGCCCCAATTAACTATTCCAACTCTGTTCGTCTTTATCAAATAATCTGAAAGTGTTTTAAATCGATTTAAGTAATTTTGACACACACCAAAGATCTTTTTCTGTTTTTTGACATCATAATAACACCTTTAATAATCGTCAAAATCAATTTTTTTAATTTTATAACCGCTTTTAAGTATCCCAAAAGTGTTTTTAATCATTTAGAATCATTTTGATTGACACTAATCAGCTTTTGCAATATTAATTTTTTGTTGAACTTCCTATAAAGCCCCAATTAACTATTCCAACTTCGTTCGTCTTTATCAAATAATCTGAAAGTGCTTTAAATCGATTTGAGTAATTTTGACACATACCAATGATCTTTTTCTATTATTTGACATCATAATAACACTTTTAAAAATCATCAAAATCAATTTTTTTAATTTTGTAACCTCTTTTAAGTATTCTAAAGCTGTTTTTAATAATTTAGAACCATTTTGATCGACATTAATCAGCTTTTCCAACATTATCTTTTATTAAATTTAATGTAAAAAGCCCCAATTAACTATTGCAACTCCGTTCGTCTTTATCAAATAATATGAAAGTGTTTTAAATCGATTTGAGTAATTTTGACACACACCAATGATCTTTTTCTGTTTTTTGACATCATAATAGCACCTTTAAAAATCGTCAAAATCAATTTTTTTAATTTTGTAGCCGCTTTTAAGTATCCCAAAGGTGTTTTTAATCATTTAGAATCATTTTGATTGACACTAATCAGCTTTTGCAATATTAATTTTTTGTTGAATTTCCTGTAAAATGCCCCAATTAACTATTCCAACTTCGTTTGTCTTTATAAAATAATCTGAAAGTGTTTTAAATCGATTTGAGTAATTTTGACACACACCAATGACCTTTTTCTATTATTTCACATCATTGGAACACTTTTAAAAATCATCAAAATCATTTTTTTAAATTTTGTAACCTATTTTAAGTATCCCAAAGATGTTTTTAATCATTTAGAACCATTTTGAATGGCACTAATCAGCTTTTCCAAAATTAATTTTGTTTTGAATTTCCTGGAAAATGCCCTAATTAACTATTCCAACTTCGTTTGTCTTTATCAAATAATCTAAAAGCGTTTTAAATCGATTTTGAGACACACCAATGAACTTTTTCTATTTTTGACATCATTGGAACACTTTTAAAAATCATAAAAATCAATTTTTTTAATTTTGTAACCTTTTTTAAGTATCCCAAAGATGTTTTTAATAATTTAGAACCATTTTGATCGACACTGCAAAAATGATAGAAGCAAGAATTTTGAAACCAACCTAAATAAATTCTCACGGAAAGATATTAGAAAATGAACAGGAAAGAAGACACTTTTTCTGAAATCTTGGAAAATCTTGTACAAATAGTACATGCCAAAAAAGAATAAGAGAAAAAGTGGAGGAAGAATTTTTTTAAAAGGTGGTAAAATCTGGACGTTTCGGCAGATGAAGCCAATACGCAAAAGCAAAGAAATTCATATAACAGATGCACCAAAAAGAGTATGTATATGCATATGCAGATGGATTGGGTTGAATTTAATTGAAAAATACAGCTTTAAGCAAGTTCCCTATTAATACTTTTATGTTAAAGTTTATGAAACCGAACTTTTTGAAATAGAATTTTTGTGAAACCAAATTTTTTTCAGCTAAAAATTACACAAGTTTACAAATTCCGATAAACTTTCAGACCCGACCAGATGAGAAACTCACTCTCAACGTAATTCGATGCGCTGAATCCGAATTTTTAATCCGTTTGTCACGATTGGTCCTGAATTTTGAGTTTTTTAAATCGACATTCCACCAAAAAGCAACGATGAATTTTGAAAAAACTTAACACCAGACACATCATTTGAATTGTATTCAAAACCTTGTGATTGTGTTTAGAAATTGGTAAAAATGCAGAAATAGCTTTGCAAAGAAGACAGACATTGAGAAGCCGTAGGTGTCTAAGTTGTTTCTCACTTGTTGAAAAAGTGTACTTTTCCTTTTCATTGCCAATTCTATGGAGAGAACAAAAAAATCATGTAGGTGTATGAATGTGGTCGGTATTAATGCAAGAAAACTAGTACAATACAAATATCATTAAGTATATCACGAGTAGTGACTCATTACAAATGTGTCCAGGTGTAAGTGAAAGTGCCCAGCAAAATATCTCCGTCAACCAGTGATGAAATGGCAAAATGAACTGAGTGATTAATTCCATGATTTGAGCTTTTGGAAACAAAAGGCAGAACTTGTATCACGGTTGCAGGAATGGAAATATCTTGTCAGTCGAGTCACTATATACAGGAAAAGAAATGTGTTTCTGCAATGGGATATTTTTCTGCAACGGCTTCATCGATGGTTCAAAATACATGAAAAGGCTGCTCTAGTACAGATTAGAAATAAAAAATCGTCCATACAAACAAATTTTGCTTTTTTTTGTGTCTTTGGGATAGCCGTGCAACTGAACATCATTATGTGAAGGAAAATTAGCCAAGTCGTAGTTATGAGCCAAGAAAACAAAACATACTTCTGCCAGCACTTCACATCAAACTTAGCCTTATTCAGAACTTATCTTAATGGAGAAGAACCAGCTTTTCAGTATTTAATCATTTAATATCCTAAACTCAAAAAAATCAAATTAATGTTTGTCGCACTTGATATTCGAAAGATAATGTCTGATGGAAACTTTAGAAAATGTTTAACTTCCGATGAAGTGACAGTTTTCTCGGTAAACTAAAATCCTCGGATTTTAAAGAAGATTGGAATCTCGAATGTGTCATTTCTGATTTTTTTCCTGAAAACTTAGGCCATACGAACAAGGAGAGCGGTTACATTAAGACATGGCCAAAATCGAGCATATTGAGATGATGGCATGATAAGCGATTATTGTTGGACTCTAACACGTGGATTCTAAAAAATGGTTAACCTTTGTTCATTTTTTATTCAATCTTAAAAACTAAAACCAATCTTAAAAAACGGATTATAGATTCGAATTCAGCATCCCTACTATCCGAGCAAAAAGTTAAGGCCCCTCACTTTACAGATCGATATCTTCGTAAGCACTCGATGGAAAAAATTGCGATAAAGTTTATTAAAGTCAGTGTGCAGTTATTTCAAAAACGATCTGACGGATTTCAACGCGATTTTTACCAAAATATGTCAAAAAATGTCGGCTGTTGGATTCCGTTATCAGTTTTTCAAAATTAGGACTCCCTAATTTTTTAAGAGCGATTTAATGGAATTAAAAATTAAAGAGAAACAGAAATAAGCTATGCGGGGAGAGCAGGGTTTCATCCAATCGGAACAAATGGTGTGTCCCAGACAGTACGTCGCGCCTTTATCTTACCTACATAAAGAAATAAGGCGCGACGTCCTGTCTGGAACGCACCATCTGTTCCGATTGGACAGATCCCCCGTCACCCCGCAGAGCTTATTTCTGTTTCTCTTTAATTTGTAATTCCATTAGTTGAAAGTTGACAAAGTTGCTGGCACTCTTAAAAATCGTGTACTGTTTTCATTTAACTCGCGATAAAAAGAAAACCGTGTATCCGAAAATTTTCAAATTAACATATGTTACGTAAAAATGTTCAGTGATTACAGCAAACTTTTTCGCAATTTTTTTTTATCGAGCGGTTGCGAAGATATCGATCTCTAAAGTGAGGGGCCTTAACTTTTTGCACGGATAGTAATTACCTAAGAAATAACATTTCGTTGTTTAGGTCCTAAACTGTGTAAACTTGCGTTTTATTAGATATTTATTAAATTTGCAGATCATATTAAACCAAATTCATTCCTCAAATAAAAAAAAGTAATTCTCTAAAATGCCTTATTATGTTTTAAAACTGATTAAAATAATATCATTAAAACAACATTGTTAACGCATGCATTCATAAAAATAATCCCGTATTTTCTTTTTTTTATTTTTTCGATTGGTTAACGGCGAGTTACCGTCGCCGAATTAAAAGGTTTTCTTTAAACAACAATATCAACAACATGCGATAACAACAATATAATATTTTTTATATGTGTATATATATATAATTTTGTTTACACATTTTTTCTCATATATACTTTCCATGTATAATTTTCTTGTAGACGTTAGAAGGAATAACAGTTTTTATTTTTTTAATATGAATAAAGTCTCTACTCTATGACTACTTATTCTTTTATGTACATACAATGTAATTATGCCCTCAGTGTGTAAATAGTTCTCCTGATTCTTTTCATTTTATTTATTTATTTATTATGGTAAACGAAAATGAATCAACAATCAAACATCAATAAATAACGTTTCGTTGACCGTTGATTATTAACTCATTAAGTGATTTTAATTTTTAATAGTTGCAAATTGTTTAAGAAAGCTATTATTAATAAAGAGAATAAGACGTTTTGCTTTTCGTTTTTAGTTCATTAATGGGATTAATTAATAACAATGTATTCTCGCTTTGCTTATCTATTTTTTAATTAATATAATCTATTTAAATTCTCCATAAATATTTTTTTTTTAGTTAACAGGTACAAATATTTTTTCTCTCCCTCTACGTATCGCTATTTATATTATGTATGTATATGGAACGAAGGGATTATTGAAAAATATATACGCAGAATGTTTCTTTTTCTCCTATATGCACCTTTTATTAATATTTTTCTTTATGTATTTTTTTTCTTGCAATATACTTCAAATACAATTTTTGTCCAAACTGATCACGATATCACAGAGCTTGTAAATAATGCAACAATCGCAATTTCATACGCACACAAATTTCTGTTCCTTTAGTTATTTTTCGTAAAATCATTGGAATTTAATGATTTGGCGAAAAATTTTTTATTTCACCCCGTTTTAACCAAGTTTTAACATAAAAAATGGATTAATTTGGACTTTCTCTTTTAATTTACTTTAATGTATCACGAGACATCGGACTAGAGGAGAATATTTAATATATATCTTCTTTGCGAATGAAGAGAATAGATTTTTTTTTAATTAAATGATTTTTGTGTTAAGTTGTGATGGAATTTGAACGTCTATAGTTGCTTCATAAAGAGTTATTTATGCGAAAACAAGCTAATTTCCCTATTATTATAACAAGTTGGAAAGATTGGTAAAAGTGTTCGTTCAATGAAAATAGAAAATCATATCAGTTATTCCTTCCTATGTTTTTCGTACGAGAATTTTTTATAGAACACATTACACCCGATCACAAGAGCTTCTAAATAAAAGAAAATATTGAAAAACTAAAACCTATACTATAAGATACAGTACCTCGAACGCCCAGTTCCTTATCTTTTTTGTGTTTTTCATTTAGAATAAGCGATATTAGCAGCAACACGAATAATAAACGTACCTTTTCGTTCAGATCGATGTGAATATACGCTATATCCCAATTAGATTACTATACAATTAAAAATTAACGCTATACAATATAATAATTGCGGGATAAAATATATGTAACAAATATTAAAATTTATATAAATCGTTAAATCTGTTTTGGTATTGCACGATTTTTTTTTATTTATGTAGAAACGTTTTGCTTCAATTAATGATTTAAGATAAACCACCCTAACAAATAATAAATTCGATTTAAACCTTTAAAATATAACAAACAATAAAACTGGTTATACAATTAATAAGACTTGATTTCTGGTAACAAAGTTTGTATCCCGTCTTAAAAAATTCTATTCGCTAGTTTAGATTAAAAAAAAAGAAACGAATTGTCTAGACATATACACATTCTTTCTTCCATAATATATATGTGTTGTATAACTTAGAAAATTATATATTAATTTAAGGCCAACGTTCATAAAAACTGCTATAAATATACACAGACAATGTTGTATACAAATGATCGGTGGCTAAAACGAAAACAAATTCGCGCAGTTGATCGGACGTACAGAAACAACTATTATTGTGGGGAACGGTCATCGAGGAGTGTTGTACCTGCTGATGCTATCACTGCATGCCCAACGATCCGAGGGCGTTATTCCTCGCCCTTTTCATCTCCTCCTCCGATATCCGTTGCTCTATCAGATACTGGGCTGTGTTTATCGCATTCGGATTACCGGTGATAGTCACTATGCGATTTCGTGTACCTGGAGCGAAAATCCCCTTTTTTGAAATTTGAATATTGGCTCCGCTTAATTGTTGAATTTCTACTAATGATCTTCCACCAGGTCCTAATAAATTTAAAACAGATTAATGTTTGATATTAAGGTATACCAGATAAAACCTTATATTAAAAAACCTTTATACAGTGAATTTCACTTAAAATGCAATATACAAAAATATGGATACTTATTGTATGTTTCTTATTGTAGGTCTAATGTTAGTTCTAGTGACAGGGTAGGTCGCGCTAGTTAACATAAAATATCACTATGTTGCATATTTTTATTAAATTAAAACTAGAACTAACACAAGAGCTAGAACTAGAATCATTCGGGTTTAGCCACGAGTGTCCTAAACCCGAATGTTTCTAGTTCTAAGTCTAGTATTAGTTCTAGTTTTACACTAGCACAATCACTAAGTTGTACAGGATGGGCCAAATTGGACACTTTTAAAGGAAAACTCCTCTTTCTATAAGAGATGGAGGAAAAATGATATGAGTGTCTGAGGCTCGATTTTTATAAGAAACTTAATGGTGAAAACCGCATATCGATATCTCTTACGGTTTCGGAGATACAGGGTGTTTTTCAAAAAAGTGCATTTTCGAAAAATTGTCGTAACTTTTTTCTTATCGATAAATCTTCCTATCTGTGAAAACATTTCCAAAGCAACTTTTTATGTAAAATTCGATGGAATAAGTTAGTTTTCCAGCAAAGCAATATTTTAGTAGTTATTGACATAAAAATGATTTTCTTAAGTGGAACACCTATATATTTTTGCAAATTCAACGAGAGCATAAAATTTCCTTATCTTTCCTATCTCGTTCAAGTCTTCTTTGAAATATACAACTTGGAAACTTTTAAGGTTTTCAATTGCGTACTAATAGGCTAGTGGGCTTTGATTGCGCTTCGATAAAACAAAAGCACTGTTGTTGCTATTTGTTGCCATATATTTATTATTCTTGTTTTATAATAAGTTCTATTAATTTAATCTGCTTCTTGGTTACGAATTTATGTTTTAAATTTATTGTAACCAACTATGTTCATCATACTTATAAATATAATCCCGTCTTTCTTTTATTTCCAAAGCCTACTTTTTCATAATCTGCACATATAAGTTGTATATTTCAAAGAAGACTTGAATGAATTATCAGGTGTAATATATTTTTGGAAAGGAAATTTTATGCTCTCGTCGAATTTGCAAAAATACACAGTGTTCCATTAAAAAAAATCATTTTTATGTCAATAACTGCTAAAATATTACTTTGAGGGAAAGTTAACTTATTCCATCGAATTCTAAATAAAAAGTTGCTTTGGAAATGTTTTCACAGAAAGGAAGATTTATCAATAAGAAAAAAGTTGATTTTTCGAAAATGGACTTTTTTGAAAAACACCCTGTACCTCTGAAACCGTAAGAGATATCGATATGCGGTTTTCTCCATTAAGTTTCTTATAAAAATCGAGCCCAAAACACTGACATCAGTTTTCCTCTATCTCTTATAGATATGGGATTTTCTCTTTAAAAGTGCACAATTTGGCCCACCCTGTACATACTCTAATTTTACACTATCACTAGAACTAACACAAGACCTAGAACTAGAATCATTCGGGTTTAGCCGTCTTGAAGGACGTGCGGCGGCTAAACCCGAATGTTTCTAGTTCTCGATCTATTGTTAGTTCTAATTTTACACTAGCACTATCACTAGAATTACCACAAGGCCTAGAACTAGATTCATTCGGGTTTAGCTGTATTGAGCGACGTGCGGCTAAATCTGAATGTTTTTAGTTCTAGGTCTAGTGTTACTTCTAGTTTTAATTGTTATTCAGAGTTAGATTGTGGTATATTGTTATTGGACGAAAAGTAGAATTAACACTAGATCTAGAACCAGAAACATTCGGGTTTAGCCGTGCGTTTCTTACGAAACTCAAAGTTATCATATGGACGTCATTTTTTCCAAACAAAACTACCCACTGCCTGTATTATTAAGGTGAGTTTAGACATGCATGGATTTAATGGCGCCAGTTCTATTTGCACGCCAGTAAAGGTGTACACTAAATGTGCGAAAACAAAAATAAGTGACACGCCAGTTTCATTTTTAAGTGTATTGCACAACTATATACACAAATTAGGAATTCAACCGAAACAAAAATAGATATATTCTAGATTATATGTGGATAATTAAACGTTATCGTTGAATGTGTTAACGTAATTGGGAGTTAATTTGAATGCAATGAAACATAACCTAAATTTGACATTAAAAAATGTTGTGTTTTTGTGGATACTCATCTATGTTGTCATGGTTACATGTTTTTAGATTCATCACTGGGGCCAGTGATTTCAGAACGGTGCAGACTTTTCCGATCCATGCATGCATGATTTCAACTTGCATGCCAGTTGATGTTTACACATGCAATTTATTAAACTAAATCCATTCATGTCTAAACTCACTATTAAACTATGTTGCATTTTATGTGGGACAGTGCAAATGCATAGTAGTTTCGTAACTATGGTTACTGCATTCAGATATTGCGAGTTATGTGAAATTCCCGGTATAAATCATTAGTGTTATTTATAAAAAAAAAATAAGTTAATGAAAGTTTATCTGGTGAAGGTATAATATAAGTCAAAAAGTATTAACATATTGAATTAATGTTGTTAAATCATTAAGACTTTACGTATTGAACTGATTCCATATATTGGATAACACAGAATATAAAATTGATGCAAAACATAAAAGATAAAGCCTTTATAAATTATCAGTCAAATAAAACTTCCTCTAAATGGGATTATTACAAATCATTACGTAATTTGGTTAATAAATCAATAATCCTAGAACGTAAACAATTACAAATTACAAATAATAGTTGGAAGGCATTGCGAAATGGTGGAATGTTTAAAAGAAATAATATATCAATACCTAAATACATTGGTTCCCCCCTGGAGCTATATTTGAATGCAAAATAACTTAAAAGTCTTGTTGCAAAACATCTTTAATGTGAACCAAATTATAAAACTTCTTAAAAACTTAACAAAACAGTAAATCTATTCATCATCTGTCTTCTTATGATCAAAGCACTTAGCGCAAACAGTTGCCATATCATTTAACTTTAGAATCTTTGGATCTTGCACAAATGGAACATCTTATCCCGTAGTGTTCGGGCAGAGGCAGGCCAACACGATGTAAGCGATGTGGACCTTCGATGTCAAGTTTCACTCTTTTTGCCGTTTTTTGACATATCTTCCTCGGAAGTGTACCATTCTGGGCTCTGAATTTCAGATGATCTCTTCTACCAGACTTAGAGTAATGGTCGCCAAAAATTCTAATCTTTTCATTTTTGAATTCGGGTGATTGCTTACGTAAATTACTGCACATGTGTTAGTACCGGCAATATCCAACAGTCTGTAAAATACCACCAATGGCTAACACTATGTTTATCTGGAAACTGTATAATTACCACATAACTCATCGACAATATCAACACCACCCTTAGTCATGAGTAAAAGGTTATAAATTTTCGTTTCTTGTTATCTCCTGTATCTGGGTCGATTGATCCATCTTCTTTTTCTAGTAGAATTTATGAAGTTAGCAGGGATTTTTGGTTTATTTTTTTCTGCTCGTATTGACAAGCGTAACTAACGGTGAACCAGTTATCAACTGTGAAATTTCTTCCGATTCCATAAATGGTTGAGTACCGCATAGTTAGAGTACTGCATAGATCTCCAAGAAAGAAATGTACCTGGTTCTCGAGTCTGCCATAGCTAAAATTTGAATACCATATTTAGGCAGTTTACTTCAAATATATTGCTTAAAGGAACATCTTCCCCGAAACGCCACTAGTTGTTCGTTAATTGTGCAGTATTGAAATAGAGAGTACTGCTACTTGCAGTTAGAAGTGAAGATTTCAAAAATCACCCTTATCGGAGCGAGTTTATCCTGAACTCTGCGTTCACTCAAACCTAATGTACTCTAACAATAAATGGAACCTTCAAGCTGATTGTAGTTTGAAACACCTCAATCTCAACTTCTTCGTTATTAGTTTCTTCGTCTCCGTGTTGGAAGCGTGGCTTGATTTTTCTTCAATATCATCCTCAGAATCCAAATCAGACTCATCATCTGGGTCCGAACTATTACCACCAAGTTCTAGTAACATTGTACGAAAATTGTTATCTAACAAAATACACAGTTTTTTAAATTGTACCAATTATGCTGACCCTCAAACTGCATTACAAACGGGTAATAGCCCAGTGAAAGAAAACAACCGCTGTATCCAATATGAGACTTTACGTACTGGTGGAAAGGGTACAGATAAGAAAAGTGATGAATGTCGCTAACCTAGACAAAAGCGACGTAAAATAATAGAAAGAAGAAAGCAGCTGCGCAACTGTCATAACTAAAAAACCTAGCAATAAAACAACATCTAACAGAAAGAATAAATTAATTAAGTAGAGTTACTTAAGACCCGAACAGACGGAAATTGTAATAATTGTTCCGACAAGAAAATTGTTGGAAAAGCAGAAAAATAATGGGAAGAAGGAAAAGAAGAGTAAGAAGTCATGGATGACTGGAGAAACGTTGGAAGTGATGGAAAACCGATGAGCATACAAAAACATAGAAGACAGCGTATATAATAATATAGAGAAGGAAATAAGAAAGAAAATACAAGTACCCAAAGAAGAATGGCACAAGGAGTTTGCATCAATCAATGACTTTATTGTGTCTTCATCAGCATTAACTGGCCTTCCAGAACGTGTTGCATCTTCAACATCAAAATAAACAACCTAAGCCTTGACGTCACAGAACTCGAAACATTTTCGTTGCTAACTGTGTTGCTAACGGTAAATTACCATATATTATGCAATTTTCCGTTAGTGTTAAAATTACTAATTACATTTTTTGGCGATTTATCATAGCAACTGTGGTTAGCAACGAAATTGTTTGGAGTCAGTATAAGCTCCGCCCACCTCTGTGACGTCAGACCTAAGCAGTCTATTGCCGGATCAAAATTTTGTAAATAAGTTTTGGCGTATTGTCAATATGTACATCTACTCTATACACATCGAATCTTTTCACTTTCTATACTTGAAAAGACACCAACCACAAACTACTACGTAGAATCAATCTGACTTTTTCATAACAAGCCTTGCTATAACAGCGGTCAAAAGATGTAGTGATGATGCGGCTTAAGTATGAAGTTTGCTACGAAAAAATACAATTAAGTCTTGTGTTGGAAAGAAAACGAATGTCTGAAAACTAAGGGTTATCCCACCTTCATAGACTCTCTATTTACATTTATCAAAATTATGTAAGAACTGAGATATCATCTAAGTAATTTATGATAACCTCTAATATACAGGGTGATTTATTAGCTCACCATCAAACTTTGACATATGATAGCTACTCCAATTACCAAAAAAAATTTTAATGAACATATAGGACATATGTTTGATAAGCTAATAAATCACCCTGTATAACAAATATGTGTGATGAATTTAATTATAAAAACAAAGAGAGATTTGAAACGAATGGCACCAACATTAAATTCACAAGTCTAACAATGATTTATCTAGGAAGCGTTAGTTGTCAGTATATAATGAAGGAACCCATGTTACAGGGAGAAACACATTATATTGTTTTATTTGACGTGGAGCTCAAGAAGTTGGATAGTGCCTCTAAACATTTATTGAAAAGTACTGTATAACTCAGTATGGAGGAAGTTATCAACAAATATTTTATGTCAAGTTAGTTTTTTACGTAATGTTAGTAATTTTGGAGACAGATAAAATGTTTACAATTTCATATACAGTTTGTATAAGCTTTTTTTCTGTAAAGAAATTAAGTACCAACAACGTTTGAATCACTCCGTATACAAACATAATTAAACAACAATAATCACTTAAAGTTAACTTAATATTTTTTAAGTCTTAATCGTTATCAACTTGTTATCTTTATTATTTCTTAAGGATTGTTATTATGTGGGGATTTAAATTTAATAATTTAAATCCTCAAAAATGATCGATGAAAAAATTAAAAGAAATAGATAATAATAATTCTTACCTAAAATAGCTCCAACGATAACTTCGGCGATTTCAACATTTTTCGAATCTTTAGTGCCATTTAATTCAGCCGGAGTTGGACTTTTACTTAACACAGCCATTTGTTGACCAGTGCCTAATCCGAAACTGTTGTTGTTAAGAGAAATGGGGGCGGCAGCTTGGCTACTTTGATGCCTAAACGGGTCGTATTCGAATTCGAGCTTGCCTCTTTGAGTTGGCGATGTCGTACCTGCGAGAATCGGTAAAGGTTTGAAAAGAGACGTGGGTTTCGTCGAAATGTTTTTAAAGATTTTTCAACAAACAACAAATTGTGTATAGGAGGTGGGCAGAAACGGGGTCGCATTTATAAAAAAAAATATATTACAAAAATTAAAAGAAATAATATTAAAAAACAAACGTGAAGGAAAGCTGTACTTACCATCGCGTTGGGTAAGATTTTTTTTTATTAATGTTAGTGTTAGAGTAAAAATTTATAAAAAAGAATTTTCTTTATACCCACCTCCTATATGTGTATATTTTTTAAGTCTTTTCGCATCGGTCGTGTTGAGTGGAGTTTTTAAATTAAACAAGATCGAAAAATTAAAGGCAACTTTAATTTATTTGGAATGAAAAGTCAAATTATAATACAATCTTTTTATTTGATAACACTAACAATTTCTTTTTTATTATTAAACTATTGAATAATAAGAAGTGTTATCAAATTTATTCTGTTTACAATTTTACTAACCATATTTTTTAAACTTGTTTCGTTTGTGTTAAAAAATTTGAAACCGAATCACCCAATTATTAAAAATTGAAATTCGTTGAATCAAACACAAAAATCCAATTTCAATTTTTTTACTCACAACACAGGAGTTAATTTCTTCTACTGAACACAGTTTCAAAACAGAACCATCATAAATATGTTGTATTTACAAGATGTATTTAAATATAAACACAAATAAAATGTTTATTGAGATGATTAAATAAGAGTAACGATTAATTGTAAATTCGTGTATTTTAAAGAATCACCTCAAAAAAGAAATTTTTAATGTTATTTAAAAACATATTGTATGCAACAAAAAACGATAACAACAAATCTAAGAGATCATCGCTTGATTGCGAGCGGACTCCATAAATTTCTTTGAATCGGTAACATTATCTTAAAATTTTACATGTATAATAGTTGAAAGAACGACAATTTTACTATTTCACTAAATTAAACAAAAAAATAAGTAAATTATGATGTACTTTATTTACCTAAACATTCCCCGATGCTAACTTGCCCAATCGGTCCAAACATCCCTGTATTTGCACTAGCTGCTCCGCCTTGATCAGCAAAACTAAGATAATTCGGTAAACCACCAGCATGGGCACTGCCTAAACCCAACGTAGCCAAAACACCATATTTAGCCAAAACTGATAAAGCGGCACAAATCTCCATTAATTGTTGTTCAGAATAACCCGATGTCCTCAATTGAATCTAAATAAAATAAACAACAAATTAAAAAAAAAATACGTTTGTTTATAAATCGTATCAAAATCTACATGAAAAGGATAATAATAACATTTACTTTGATGTTTTCGAGGAGTTGTGCGGTGAGCGAGCCGACGTTTTGACCTGGGGCGTTCAAATTCAGACTGAGATTGAGTCCCCCATTGAGCATCATACTCTGGGCTGTACCCAAACCGCTATTCAGACTAGCGTTTGAAGCGCTGAACGCATTTCCTGTACTCTGAGCGAATGGGGAGCCGGTGGGGTTGAAATTCGCTACGGGACCGCTTACGTCAGCGTAAGAAACGTTTAGGCACGCGCCACTTTGTGGATCATCTACTACTTTCGACAGAATCATCATGCAAGCTTTTTTATTCGCCTCTTTTTCACCTAGAAAAATAAAATTGTATCAATAATTAAATTGTTATCAAAAATTGGTTTGTATTATTTTTTTTCTTTTTAAAACTGTCAAATCCTTTATAAGTGACAATTCGAAATTACTCACAAAGTTATGGAATTTCATATAACTCGCAATATATGAATACAGTAACCATAGTTACGAAACTACTATGCATTTGCACTGTCCCACATAAAATGCAACACATCTTAATAGTATAGGCATTCGATAGTTTTGCTTGGAAAAAAGATGACGTCCTTATGATAACCCTGAGTTTTCTGTTTTGTGTTAGTTCTAGTGCAAAACTATAACTAATACTACACCGAGAACTAGAAACATTAGGATTTACCCGCACGTCTTGCAACACGGCTAAACCCGAATGATTCTAGTTCTAGGTCTTGTGTTAGTTTTAATGATAGTGCTACTGCAATATTAGAACTAACACTAGACCGAGAACTAGAAACATTCGGAGTTCTAGTTTTAGTGCAATAAAAATATGCAACATAGTGATATCTTATGCTAACTAGCGCTACCTACCACTGTCACTAGAACTAATATTAGACCTAAAACTAGAAACATTTGGGTTTAGCCGCACGTCTCTCAAGACGGCTAAACCCGAATGATTCTAGTTCTAGGTCTTGTGTTAGTTTTAGTGATAGTGCAATACTAGAACTAACACTAGACCGAGAACTAGAAACATTCGGATTTAGCCGCACGTCTCTCAAGACGGCTAAACCCGAATGATTCTAGTTCTAAGTCTTGTGTTAGTTCTAGTGACAGTGCTAGGTAGTACTAGTTAGCATTAAATATCGCTATGTTGTATATTTGTATTGAAGTAAAACCAGAACTAACACTAGAACTAGAAACATACGGATTTAGCCGTACGTCTTTTAAGACGTACGGAAATTTGTAGCGGAAATTTTACAGGAGACAGAAAAAACTGGATTCTTTAAATTATATTTGTATTTCGACTGTCGAATTTTGATACAATTGAAAATGAGAATATTATATGTTAGAATCTACTATGGTTGGTAATTTTAAATAATTTCAGGCACCTTAGATGCAGTTACGCGTTTTTCTGTTTAATTTTTCTAAAAGAAGTGGAGTTACGCGAATTTCGTAATAAGTTTTTTAAGCAAAATTTTATAATTTATCTCCAACAATATATTTTAAATTGAAAAAAAAACTTATATGCAAGCTAAAAAACATAATATAAACTAGAAAATAATGAAATTAACAGTGTTTATTTTTTGAATAAACTAATAATACAATAAGGAATTCAATTAAACTTTATTGCTATAATTATTTTTCCTTAAGTGCTACATTATTAATAGGAACATCTTTTAAATACACAAATCACAAGTATCTTATTCGTAAGGAAGTTCATCATAAAATTTATGATAGTCTTATAGAAGTCCAGCTTTTAGTGTCTGAAGATGATCGTATTTTTCTTTCTTTATTTTTCTTCGTTGAACGTATAGAGGCGCTAAATCATCAAATTTACAGGGATCAATTTTTTTGTTAACTCTACTATTTAACTTGCAAAATGGCTGACTATGTCTTAATTTGAAAAAAATTTCACCTTTAGGTAAATATTGAAGTGGTTTTAAGTCGGTAATAGCGGGATTACCGACAACTCTGCCTGGACGAATCGAGTTATAAAACTTTAAACCATCAAACTTTAAAAAAAAAGTATGATCCAAACATTTCACTTCATAAGGTGCATTTCAACTTCTGCAGTAATGGCTCTCTAGTTTGGGAAGAGATTGAAAAAATTGAAACACTCGAATTTTTTTCTTGAAATTTTTTTGTTCTACTACTTTCTTCGCTAGAGGATACAGCACTACCTTTAATCCACATCAGCACCATGGTTTCCTTTAAACCTATAGTTCCAAGGAACATACGCTTACAAACCCTTATGGTTTCTAATTCAATTTTAAACAAATATGTAATAGATTATTTTCTTTTAGAAGTAATATCTTGATCTCTCCTCCTTCGTCTTTTAACGTTTGTAGGTCTTACTAAAGATTGTACCTGCACCTTCCGTTCTCTCCAATTCAGATTGTTCCAAAAGTCTTGATATATTTTTATATTTCGGTTTTCGGCAGTTAAGGTGTTACAGAGAATTGCAGATTTTTCTTACTCAGAGAACAGTTGCAGGGGTTTCCTAAAACTTTACCCGGTTTATGAATTTATACTCCCAATTTTGTCCTTGCTTTTTCTTGCCTAAATAAGATAATCCTCTTAAACGCCTGTCCTTGTTTACATTGCCTTTCCATTCCGAAGGTATTTTTCTTTTGTTTCTAGTTTTAATGCTTAAAATATTTTCAGGTCTTTCAATGTTCGTAGCTTGATCGGAAGCAGGCGGAACATTTTCGTTTGCTTCAACGATATTGTCATAATTTTCATCACTATTAGAAACCTTGTCCTTGAAATCGTCGTCTTTAGAATTTGGCGCATAAGTTTTATCAAAATGCTCTTCTTCATTAGGGTTTTTATTTTTTGTAATATTATCTATCGAAATCCTTCAGAAAGAGGAAGTAAGGGTTTGGCTACATCATTTTCTTTAGCAGGGTATTCAGTAGTATTGTCTATAACTGTAGGTAGTTGCGTAACATTAATAATATCTAACAATAAAATATCTCCATTTGGAACTGTTTCCTCTTTGCTTACTAAAACTTCATTAGCATTTGCTATAGTAACTTCATCATTGAAATTTTCGTGTTCTAAATTAGGTTCATCAAATTCTGCCGTTAAAATTCCGGTGTCTTTATTTACAATTAAATTAATTTCAGCTGATTCATTCAAATGTTGTGGAGCTAATAATTTTACTTTGAGCATTCTGGTAGTAGTTACCGTTAATGTTAATGTTTCGGAGCCGTATGTTATAAGCGGAAACACGCATTGATTGAAAGCCTTTCTTTTCAAATATATAGGAATATCGCTCTTGAAGATGTCTCTAAGTTTCCTGTAGGCTGTTCAGTTCGCTTGTTTGATTATCTCTCGATACACGAACATCATGGCCAAGATACACATAGCTGTCAACCCTCTCAATCTCATTATCCCAAATGTTGATGGTAGACTTGGAAACAAGATTTGTCATAAATTTTGATTTCTTTACGTTAATATTTAGCCCGACTCTTGCACACAGCTCCTTTAAGTCGTTCACCATTCGTTTCATCACTCCAAGACTATCCAAAATAAGAACTATATCGTCCGCGTGGCGTAAATTACTTAGGTATTTGCCAGCAATGTTTATGCTTTTTTGCGTCCAATCCAGTTGTTTAAATGCATTCTTCAGGACTGTGATGAACAATTTATGTACAACATTGTATCGCCTTGTTTTACTCACAATCAGTACTTTACTATGGCTACTCTCTTCAGTACTTTTATGCAATTTTACCGTCATTGTAGCATTCTTGTAGATGTTATAAACAAGTTTGGTGTATCGATAATCGACTCTGCATTCTTGAAGTGCTTGCAAAACTGCCAACAACTCAATTTAAATTAAATTTTATAAATACCTTTAAATACCCATCTTGGGTAAATACCCCCGAGTATATATCCAGGAAATTTACCCTTGACAATAAATACCCGGGTATTTAATAACACTGATCTATTCTAACGTTTTGTTCAACTTGTTAAATTGATAAGAAACACGGTTAATTGTTTAACAAAAAAAATTAACTTTATTATTAACTAAATTCTTGAATACTCTTATCTCAGGGTTTTAATAAAAATAATAATAATATAGCGAGTTCAGGTTCAAAAAGGAAAATTAATTTTACAGGTTTCTGTTTTTAACTTCGTTAACTGAGCATGAGAGAGCGTATACCGTCAATAAAGACGTATGTCAAATGTCAAACTATTATGTTTACGTTAAACTAATAAAAATTATAAAGACTTAAGTCTGTGTCGATAACAATCGATAAATGATCAAACAAAACAAGAATAACAGTGTTATTGTGCAATTTTGTTTCTTCAAAAGACTCGTAAGTTAGTTTGAATTATTGACATGAACATGAATAGTAAAATTCTCACTTATCTGATAAATAACTTTTAGGTTATGCGATTCAATTCGATTGAATATCTCTATTGGGTTGGAAGATCCCTCTTAGGAATGGAAAATGGACAGGAATCTGGAAAGCTTCGGCTCTGATAATTATTCTTCTATCGTATATTGTTTGGATCAGGAAAATTTTCAGGAATCAGGTAATTTCTTCTCAATTTATTTCCGATGTTCAAATTTAGCTTCTTTCCTTTTTTTAAAGTTAATAAAAAGAAATCTTTATTTTGTATTAACTTTGGATTGAATTTATCGGAGAACTAATTTTAGGTTAGGAAACTATTTTGGATTTTTTAGGTTAGATTTTTTAATCAAATTTAACAGAGCTCTCTTGCCCTTACTCAATTGGACTGCTTTGGCTCAACTTTTTCCTCTTCTTATATAGCCTTTTCCCCTTCTCCTAAAATTTCCTTCCTTTTGTCTTAAACCCTCTATCCCCATTGGTAGATAGGTTTTGCGCCATTTCTTCTTTTAAATATTTCTAAAACGCCATCTATCGGATTTCTTTTGAATTACTCAAAATTCCAAAATTTCTTTCATTAATATCTCCTTTATTCCTTCACTACTCTGGATGAGACTTCGTATTTAATGCATATGTCCTTCTATTTCAGTCATCCATTGGAGGTTTCAAAATTCTCCAATCACAAAAGAAGTTTAAAATTTACAAATTTAAAATCTAATTTCCAAAATCAAAATCGTTCAACATCTTCCAGATTCTAATAAATTAGATGTAGCTAATACTGATCTTCCCGTTTTGGATGGTTTTGAATGGATATTAACAGTTTTAAAAGAATTATGAGCAACTAAAAATTAAATGTCAAATGAATTGAGGTTATGTCTCTCTCTCTCAGGTAATTTGTCTCGGAAGCTTTATTACACTATCTAACACTGAATAACAATTAAAACTAGAACTAGAAACATTCGGAT